AAAATATGTTTTATTTTTCTGCCTGTTTTGGCCAACATTTCTCCTTCACATCAATTTCTAAAGTAAGCATTGTTTTACTACTGCTAAGCTCTGTCCACATGTCTTATTCTTTTTTTTTTAACTTTAAAAAAAAAAGATTTGTTTATGCATATAAGAACTGGGGTGTAAGTCAGAAGCATGGCGGGGGGGGGGTGTGTGAGATGATTCACCAGAGACAGAGTGGGGAACAGAACAGGCAGATCTACTGAAATACACTGTTTAAGGGAGCAGCAGGCGAGACAGGAGAGGTCTGCTGTGCCATGTGGGTTAGCTCCCTGGCAGGGGATTGAACTCATGCTGCAAAAGCTGCTGATAGCTTCATAGTGCTGAGACTTAACCCTTTCTCCCACCAGGCAGGCCCCAAATACTCTTGTATCTGGCTCCTTTTGTCCCAAATTATGCTAACTTTCATATTGTTGCATGTGTCATAGTTCATCTTAAGCCTAAAATGAAATCAAATTCATCAGACACAGAACAAGACAAGCAGGAAACACCATCACACATAGCATAGAAGCTTCTACTCTCAAATGCTTCCACAGGTCTGCTTCTGTTCCTTTTCCCAACACAAGTCATGGCTGAGCCTATAATAAATGGATAGGTATTTATAAATATATAATTTTTTTTAGGAAAATATAATCTTATAGGGGTGTGAATAACTGTAAGCTTCAATAATATTTTCTCTAAAATATATCTTCATCAAAAAAATTGCCATGTTTATATGTAAATACATTTATTTGTGAATTTTGTTCATTTAAATAATTGATTACATAATTCAATGCATTTGGCTCAAAAGACAGGATTTCTCTGTCTATAGCAATAATTAACTAATTATCTTGAACATGATGTTTCAATGAGTATGCATTTTTGATTTCTTCATAGAGTACATGCAAAATAAAATCATTTATCTTGGTAATGTAAAGAGGAAAATGACAAGATTGAATTATTTGAAAAAAAAACTTGGGAAAATTTGACATCAAAATAAATTGCCCTTTATGAAATCCTCCCTTCTCACTGAAATTTTCATTGATCTGTGTATTCTGTTTTAGTTTGGCTAAGAGTGTGTTTCTTTGATATTTAAGTGCAAAACTTGGAAATTAAATACTGTGTCTGTAAAATACATGTGCTGGCATATTCCTTGAAAAGCATATATTAGTTGATTCATCCCCAAATATAACTTGTCTAAATATTCCTGTATTTCTTAATCTGAATCAATTTTGCTTACCAAATTTTCCTTTAAATGGGGATCAAGAAGATGTGGTGTGTATACACACACACACACACACACACACACACACAATGGAATATTATTCAGCAATCAAAAAGATAAATGCATGCCATTTGCAGCAATGTGGATGGAGCTAGAAGGAATTATGCTCAGTGAAATAATTCAGAAGGAAAAAGAAAAATATCAGAAGGTTTCATTATAGCAGGAATATAGGGAAACCAAATAAGACATCAGTGTAAATAGTAATAACAATACAAAACAAAACAAAATATAGACATCCTGCAGGGGAGGAAGAGGGAGAAGGATCAGAGGGTGGGAGGGAGCAGCACGGGGGAGTGTGGTGATGGTGCACTGGTGCATTGGGGAAGGAAATTCTATGGGGACTGCACCTGAGGGTGTTGGGGGGAAAGCAAATATTGTTTAAAAAATGAACAATGATGTAAAAAATAATAAATAAATAGGGAAAGTACTTATATTCCCAGATTGAACAATTTTTAACTTCTTCTTTCATTCAAATCCATGTTTTGCTCTGCTTGTTACCACATAGATGCCTCCACCACACTGCTAGAATTTTCTTATATGCTGAACTGTAGCTTTTGTTATGAAATAACCTTTAACTCTTTAATTTAAAGCAATAGTCTTAATTATAGCATTTGATACCACATAGAAAAATTTTAAATGGTGACAGTAAAGTAAGACATCTGCAGGAGAGAGATACCATGAACCAAAAGGAGGGAATCTAAGAGAAGAGTTGGAAGAAATGTGATTGTTCTCTGGACAGAATGTAGATCCGACTTGGGCTATGTCCACGGTTTGCTGGAAGATACCTCCTGTTTTCACTTGACTTATCCATGCAAATAATTTATCTGTTTTCCATTTCTATCTCCTTTAATATTTTTTTAGTGAGCAATCAATCTATACCTCCTTTCTACTCATCCATCCCCTCAATCCTTATTCCAGCACTTTGGACTTTGGCCATTCTACTCAATTGAAAAATATTATATCTTATGACTAGTAATGACCAATACCATGAGTTTTTCTTCAGTTCTAAATCTGGGCTTATCAGAAGTGTTTACACCATGAACTAACTTTGCCTTCTTAAAAATCTCTGCTATTCAGGCTTCCAATGTACAGTATTATCTTAATTGTTTAACTTTGATATTGTCCCTTCTTTCCTCTTCTTAAATATGAGACATTTCCTCCATAGTTTATTTTTCTCTCTCTACACTCTGTCTGCAAAGGCATGAATTCTTGGCAGGTGATGGCTAATTGATATTTGGGGTCCTCTCTTCTCTTCTGGCATTTAATCTCTTGTTTCCAAATGATGGATATTTTTACATGATTAACATAATTTCAGTGTGCCCCAAATGAACTTATATCCCCACCCCCATATTTTCTTCCTTTCCTGATATTTCTATTTCTGTTAATGCCTCTGTTCCCTCAGTAATTGGTATAAAGAATTGATCCTCTTGCCTCACAGCTTCATCTCCTATCAACATCTCTTAACAATTCTCTGCTGAAATATATAGAATCTATTATTTCCCTGCATCTAGTTATTTGCGTGTTTAACTAAAATATTTATCATCTTATTCCTAAAAAACACAATAATATTCTGGCTGTTTCTTTGGCTAAATTATCTGTATCCTCCAAACATTTCACCATAAGTTTGGTTGCCCTCATCTTCACTGCAAGCATCCTCTTTTAATGCCTTCCTTTTACCTGTAGGTTAAATTCGCATCTGGCAGCTTAACCTTCTCAGTCCACTTCATAGAAAGCAATAAAGCTAGTAGCAGGGGTTCAAGTAAGTGTGAATACTGACAAGAAATTTGTTGGGACCAGCAGCCATCTTCTGTGGAGGAGAAAGGTGACAGGGTGACGAGGAGATGAGTCAAACAGTAATATATTAGCAGGCAGGATCCTGAGTATCAAAGATACTGAGGCAGATCCTGAGTATCAAAGACCTATCCAAATAAGAATAGGTACCTTAAATAGAGCCAAAAACATAAAGCCTAGAGTGTGAAGATCCAGAAGCTAAGAATAAGAAGGAGAGGGGAAATTGGAGTTGCTCCGTGGAACATCTGCAGCCTGTGTCCCGGGCTAGCTTTTACTGCTATTAAAAAAATTGACTCTAATGATACTTAGTAGAACACAACCATCCTCTCCATTGTTGTCCTCTACACAGACTTCTCAAGCCCTATAGCCTAGGGTGTGCAGGCTAAGATGTAGTCATGCTTGTTTCTCCAGATGCATCTCTGAACCCCCTCCTTTTCCTCCTGCTTCTCCAAACTGCTGTGACTTTGTCGTTTCCCTCCAAGTCCTTCAAGTCTGTGAAAACAAGTCCATGGCCCATATTCTCTGTGAAAACTTTTCTTGATCCCTTGAATCAAATAATATTTGGGAAATACCTCTCTATCACTTCTCACACATCATTACAGTTTTCTTTGTCTTTTTCCTCAACTGGAACTTGATGTTATATCCTGCATTAGTGCTCTTTATTGTAGAGGAGACTACACACTTGTGAATATTTTGGAGATGCTTATGGAAAAATCATTGGCCCAAAGCTCACAAAATGACCTGTGCTTCCCTGCCTCCAAAATTATGCTAAAATTTTCCCCTACATCTAACATACCTCTTACCTCCTTTCTTCTCATCCAGACTCAAAAGTTATTTAGAAAGTACAGTTAAACACCATGGTATCATGAGGGGTGGAAAGAGAAATCAGACATGGCTTCTAAGGTCATGGAATAGAGTTGCTGAAGAGAGGGTCCCTTTCCCCAGTCATATAGGATCTTTGGCTATAACCCCAGCTTGAAGGGAATTCGCTCTCCTTCAAATTTTCGTAATTCTGCTTGGCTAACTTACACTACAGTCAGTGTTCCTTAATAATTCAGTATTGTGCTCTTGCGCTCTTATTTGATTCTCACCACATGTTCTATTAAGACATATTCATCTTGTATTTCCAACTCAACTGGCACTTCTTGGAAACAGAAACAAACTTAAATTTGTTTGTCAGTTTCAACACACTGAATGAAAGGCTTTACACATAGGAAGAGCTCCATGGGCATTGAGTGATTGGGATGCAGGACAGGTGAGGTGACCCACATAACAGAAGTGGGAAGGTCTATAGACCATTTCAAGCTGTCCTGCTTCCTGAAATTTCTGCAAGATGAGAGCATGGTGTGTCTAGGGCAGTACTGGTAGATGTTTTAAAGGGGAGAGGAGACCCTAACATTTTGAAGATTGTGGGTCATTTGGTTATAGGATGATGTTTTCCAGAATTTGTTCTTTGGGCTGCTTCCAGTTTTTAAATTCTATAGAAATAATTTAATTTCTGTCACTCTAATGATTCTTCAAATGTATTTTAAACCAGATCCTCTAAGTTTCTTGCTCCAATATCAAGAATCCATTTATTTTTATGACTGATGACACTTTCGCATTGATACTCTGAGTACCCAATTTTGGATTAATTGCATATCTTGTTATGTTGATGAATTTTGCATGGATTTCATATTTCATTATGTATTGATTAGTGGGAATGCAGGCTTGAGTTTGCCAGTACAGGTTGACACTCATCGTGGGATCTACTTAAAATCATTGTTGGGACTGTCCCAGTACGTTGCTCTCTGTCATTTCCTGACTGTACTCACAGCATCACATATAATAATGCAAGTAAATGTTTGTTTATCCGAATCAACAAAGCCCTGGCACTGATTTGCTATTTGCACTTGTCTCCCAGGCATCAAGGCCAACTTTCGGGCAAAGCTGCCTGAAGGTTTGCTTATCTTTGTGGCATCACCTGACCATCAGAAAGATGATTTTGAACTTCAGTTGAAGAATGAACATCCTTATTTTCTCTTTGATCCTCAGGTAAGTAAGTAATCATAAGAGATGGTATTTCAAGAGTTTATTATGGTCCCAGGTACTGCTATAAGTGCTTATGTTTTCACACTGAATTCTCACCAAGAACTTACCTGAGTTTCTTATCCTCACTTTACCAATGAACAAATTGAAACTTACAAAAGGTACATAACTTGGCCACAGCTGAAATGATAGAACTAACTCTCAAACCATGCAGTTTGAGTGTCTATGTACTTATCAACCAATATGCTACTTTATAATGAAAATTAAAAGTTTTACATAAATTTGAACGCATCTTTTTTTTTTGAGAGTGAAATTATGTCTCTATCACCCTCCCCACTTCCTTCCTTGTGTCTCTCCTTTGTTCTTTCTTTCTATGTTTTCTTTAGTTCCCTTCCTACCTTCCTGTCTGCTTGCCTTCCTGCCTTCTCTCTTCCTAGATGTCAGTTTTCTTAAAAATGTACTATTTTACTGGACGTAAAATAATAACAAGTGGGTCAGGACAAGAGCATGAGTCCGCCTATGAGGTCCTCTGCTTGAGGTGGGGCAGGATAGAAGGCATGCTGATCAGAGAGGAGGAAATGCACTGGGCATCCAGTGTCCATGCAGAACAGTTAGTACCGGTAAGTGCCTGAGGTAGACAGGAACATGAGATGTTTAATTATGGTGGAGACTAGACAACAAAGAGAAAAGTTGTAGGTTGAAAAACTGGGTAGAGACTATGTCATCAGTTAGGGCCTTGGAAGTGCATTGTGTATCAAGCAGTTAGGCTCTCAATGTGCTAACTTCCACCTGGGTGGACAGATTTCACTGACCACTGAGGCAATCACATAAATTATGGTCTGATTTTATTGGGGGAATTCCACATTACAATAATATAAGCACATAATTCAACTGGCAGTAAAAGGGGGGTGGTACAAAGCACAAAGATAAGATTCCGAGGTGTGTGAAAAAGCTGTAACATTTGGGGTCTGGAACTTCCTTGAAGCATCAGTTCTTGGGGGTGGCAAGAAGGGCTGCTTTTCTCAACCTCCAGAGGCAGTTGGCCAATCTGGAGAAGGCTTTCAAGACCCCCTGGGCATGGATTCCAAGGCATGTCAGATTGCTTACTTCACCTATTTCTCCTGTTTCAGAGGTAGAGTGTCAGGACTACCTTAGTTTCTTGGACTTGGTCTTCCATCTGTCCTTGCCTCCCACTGCCATTTACCAGTGTCCTGGTAAACAAGCAGTTGCTTTCATGTTCAATTGTTAACATAAGTCACTCTATTTCAGTTATACCCATTTCCTGGCCAGTTGGTCATTATAACACAATACACGCAACAATGCAAAGACTTAAATTTGTCCAAATGATAATGGGGAGCCATTGAACACTTGTCTTCATTTTAGTCAAATAAGTATGAGTGAACATTTGACCTTGGGCGCTATGTTGGGTCTGTGCATAATTGAGAAATAGATAAAAATAAGTGAAAGATCTTGTGCTTTCCAAATTCTTAAGATTCAACTTAAAACTGCTACTCCAAGTCATAAATTATGCTTGTCAGATAAATGTCTTATGTTTGGTTGGTACGGCTGGTACAACTTTTCTAAGGACTGTAAGGGATCATGAGTCAAGAGCTCTGGGTGAAGAGCCCAGCTTCATACATGCAACAGGCCCCCTCCCCTTGGAGAGGAAGGAGCCTGCTGGGACAGGCATGTCTGAGCATCACACCAGGCCCCCTGAGTCCTTCCTGTGTCAGAAAGCTGAGGAAGCCATGTGTTAACAACTGGAAAGACCAGGGGAGGAAAGGTGCTTTAATGGAGGTCTGGAAACTAGTTGCTGGTACAAGGACTTCTGGGTGTCCCCTGAAATTGCAGGGATGCCGACAGATAGGCAGTGAGTAAGCAAAAAAGAAAGAGTGTCACTCCTAAGCAGATCCAGCAGCCAGAGAGAAAGGAAGAAAAAGCATCTGTCTCAGAAGGCAAGGCAGATGGCACTTGGAAAATAAAAATCAGTACTCTGATGTTGATTCAGTGACAGAACTGAAAATAGTTTTCATCTGAAAACTTTAAGTAGATTAATTAGAAGTTCAACACTGTTGAACCTCAGATTAGTAGGTCAAAAGGTAGTCTAAATATATAATAAAAATGTGAAATGGTAAAAAAAGGAAGGATATTACCAATATTTTTTTAAGATTTTATTTTTGCATAGAATTGGGGTACGGGCAAGAGGTGTGGGGGGTGAGAGGATTCACCAGAGACAGAGTGGGGAGCAGAACAGGCAGCTTTACAGAAATACACTGCTGAGGGGAGCAGCAGGGGAGACAGGAGTGGTCTGTTGCTCCATGTGACTTAGTTCCCTGGCCAGGGATTGATCTCAAGTCCTGGTGGTCAGCCTTCATGGTGAAACTTAACCCCTAGGCCACCAGGGAGGCCCATATTACTAATATTTTTAAGAAAACCCTCAAAGGAGGGCAAAAAATATATGAGAAAAAGAAGAATGAGACAAAAGAATGAAATAAAATAGGAGAGGATACCTGATTTAAAATAATTGATTGTACATTTATTGAAAAGTTTCATCAATTTTTGGTCAAGATGAAACAAAACTAATGCTTTTACAGGACTCTTTGTACCAGTCATTATTCTCAGTGGTCTTTCTATACATAAATACGTATATACACACATAAACCACCCCCCCAACACACACACACACATATTCATTTATGCCCTACATAATTTCTATGTATTATGATTCCCATTTAACAGGTGAAAACTCAAAGACATCATTAAATTGATTCTCCCAGAGTCTTACTGCTAATATGTGACCAATTCAAGATCTAAAAATGTTTGTCATTATCTAGAGACTTAGATAAAATATCATCAATGCACTAGTTTTAAGGAAATATTTTAGCAAGACTGCTAGACAAAAGGAGGGAAATAGAAGTAGTGGTGAATAACAGACCTAGCAATATTAAGTTCAACCTACATTAAGTTCAACCTACATTTCAGAGTGACTCAAAATTTGTTTTACAATATTAAATAAGAATCTTTGAAACAGTCATATAGCTAAGGCAACGAGCTTCTGTTGGTGCTAAAAATTCTAAGACTTGAAAGAGAGAAAGATGAATGAAGTAAATTTTTGTAAAGATAGTGTAGGGGACAGTGAGGAAATAGAACATATCAGTGTCTACATTTCGTGAATAAAAAGGCAAAAATATTTTACTTTAAATGTTGTGAAATAAGTGATTAATTACTAATGGGACAAAAAATGTTTCAAACAATATCCAAATTAACAAGGTCAAAAAGAGAGTAAATGCTAAATTGTATAAAAATGAACCAAAATTATTATTTTATTGGGTTTTGGAATTCTAGGTGCTAACTTTCACAGAGAAGGAAGGTTTCACTTAAAGTTCAAGCCAAATGCATAGAACCAGGCTATGGGTTTTTTGGGGGGAATCCACCTCACATTAATATAAGCATATAATTCAGTTGGCAGCAGAAAGGGGGGAAGGTAACAAATCTCTTGGCAGAGTTCAGGAGGCTGGCAATACAGAGGGGGAGGGAACTGGGCCAGAGAGCACCTGGTGGCCGCCATGTGCCCCTGGGCTCTCACCAAATGTTGGAGGAGGCTTCAGGACTATGTGTATGATATCCACAAACATCTCAGATTACTTCACATTTGGTACCTATATTGATATGATTTTCAGAGACATAGGACCAGGACTCCCTGTTTATTTTGATTTTGTCTTTCAACAACCAGGTTTTATCTGTCCTTCCCTTTCACATATCTATTTATCAGTGTCTTCATAAACAAGTGGTTGCTTTTGAATTGGAAACTTAAGTTTCTCTATCTCAGTTGCCCCCACCTCTCCAACAGTTAGGGTCATTACAATGTCTCTCTCTATAAAACACCTTTAAAAAAAAAGGGCCTCCCCTGTTGGCGCAGCTGTTGAGCGCTGGGTTGCGAAGCTGCCAGCAGCCTCTTCAGTGCTGGTTCAATCCCCAGCCGCCTGGTGAGGGTCCCACATGGCGCACAGACCTCTCCTGCCACCCGCTGCTCCCCTCAGCAGTGTACTTCATCAGTCTCCTGCTCTGCTCTCCCCTCTGGCTCTGGTAAATTCTCTCACCCTCCCGCGCTTCTGACTGTACCCAGTGCTTGTATAAATAAATGAATAAATCTTTAAAAAAAAAAAAACCTTTAAAAAAGAAAAGAAAAAGTGAAAAGGAAAAATATCAGTGAGAAAGAAAAATCTGGCTTTACTTTTGCCCCCTCAATCCATTAATATCTTGGGATGTTTAAGAAGTCAGATAGAGAAAAACTAGAATCTTATAAACATTTATTCATGGAGCCTTTACAGTATAAATGGTAGTTTCACATTAATTAATTCAAGTTCATTCTTGAAGCAGCCACTTGAAATGGGTACTGTTGCCATGCCTATTTTCAAATGAAGTGGCTAGGATGGTGCAGGATTTAGAAAGAAATGGTACTGAGTTTATTTTTTTTGTTCAGTGGAACTTTGTTTAAAGTATGTATGTACCATCCTGTGCTATGCATTTTACAAGGAAGACACAGAAATGAGAAATGAACAAAGTACTTCTGATGCCATCCACTCATCTGGACCTCTGCATTCCACAGTAGGAGTAGAGATCCCTGTCTTTGTTGGACAAGGAAGCTACAGGGCCCAGAGCAGTGTGGCATGGTAGCTTCACACAGCCTCATATGTACAGTCGGTCATGTTGAGAAAACAAGGGCATGTCTATTCAATGCACATAAGTGCCAAAATTTATGTCACCAGTATTTGTACTTTCATGCAAACCTGGCTCAACAGGAGGCAGGTGTTCCCAGGCTCATATTTGCCTTCTTGAATGACCAGGGCCATGGGCTTATATCACACTTTGGGAAATTTATATCACATTTGGTAGAACGTAAGGATTGAATTTCATTGACTTGGGGATTGACTGGAGGCTCAGGAATACAAGTTTGGTAGGAGAGCAAAGATGGCAGAAGTCAGAGGAATGCAGGGTTGGCTGAAGAGCTCTGATACAGGGGGCTCTTGTCAATATATAGACTGTGAGTCAGGTCCATCTGAAGTGTGGATGCCTTGTGGCTAAGGGCTGGCCATGAGTTGCTGGGTTTATTTGGAAAAATAGAATTGGGATAAGTAAGTTAGCCCTATTATTTTAACAAAGGGGTCACATGTTATCTAACTTAACTCTGCAGGCTGGAAAACAAAAAGCAACTAGACATGATTATAGCTAAGCTAAAGATAGAAAGAATGCAGGTGGAAAGAATGCAGTTTCAGGGTGAGTTTCAGCTTTGGGCTCTGGCTTCAGTCATGCCATTGTCAATGTGCATCCCATGGTATAAGAACATGAATCTAGATGACCTTCCCAATCCTAGAGATGCATGTGTAATAGAATACTACTCATATATTGACCCTAACAAATTTTTCATATTTAGTAAGTGTCTGCATACACACCTATCCCAAACATATGGGAAATATTCTCCTATTGTTTACTCTCCTGTTAGGTAGGAATATGAATATCAGTTCTCGCAGGAAGTTAGAGCTACCCCAGATTGAAAGACATTTGGAAGTTTGTATATATGCCTCTCACAGACATTCAAATGAGTAGGCACCCCCTTTAGCCCTGTCACCCTTCTTTAGTCTTTAAATGAGATGAGATTATTTAAGTGGTCACCTTTCTTTGTTCACTACACCTTCTTATCAAACTGTGTTGGTCCACTGAGAGCAAAGTCAGCCTGTTTTGTCCACAAATATATCCTCAAGCTTTACACAATCCTTGAAAGATAGTACATGCTCAATAAATACATGTTTGTTGACAGATTGACTGGCTGACTTCCTCGGTTACTATTGGTAAGATACTACTCAAACTGTGATAGAAGAAAATGACCTATTTTCTGGAATAAAATTTCCAGCTCTTTAATGATACTTAACAAGTCAGTTTGTGTTTTTTCTGTTTTTTAGATGTTTTGGCATTTATCAGTGATTATTATGAAATTATTATTTTTAGTCCATTTAAAATACTTTAATTTTGAATTGTGACAAGAGTATTTTGTGAAAATTTAAAGCTACTGTGTTGCACATGGTTTTAAAATAACTCGAAGTTATTTTAAACTTGAAGTTATTGTGAACTTTTTAAAAAAATATCTTAAATAATTAAAGTCATGAACTCCTGACAAAAGAATGTAATCCTACATATTCTATGAAGTATAAAAACTTATACAGCTTCCAACTATACAGTGCATTTTGTGAATAAATATTTAAAGGAAGGGAAAAGTTATTTATAATATTGAGTATTAGAAATGTGTTTTCTTATATTGGACTAGATACATGGAATGTTTGTGAAGAGATACAGTAAAAAAAGTTACTTTAATTTTAATTGCTATATTTTTTTGCTCAATCTCTAACAATTAGCTATAATATTTCCACTGTTGTTTGGTTAATTTTAATTAGACTATACTTGATCATATGATAATTTGTTCATCAAAAATGACTTGTGCTTATCATTTCAATGTTTTAAATTCAGTGACATAAACAGGAAATTTATGTAACATTTTAATTTGATGAAAAATGAAGCTATGAAAGGAAAAGCTTTCAAACAATCCTGAATAGCACCTGCTTAATGTATCTAGTATTTTCCAAATGGAAAGTACAAATTGCATTGTATGATACCTGGATTGGCCACAGAATTATTTTCTTAATACCAGTGATGTAAAATAGTCTTAAAATTATCCTCAAAGAATATTTTGAGTTTCTCTAAGTACAGAGCAAGTTTGGCATACTATGTTTTACCTGAATTTGTCTCTAATGAGTGCAGTTTTTGATGTAGAGAACTATTAATGCTTCAGATTGTTGCCAAACATAATATGAAGAACCACTCACTCAGACACCTGATCTTTAGAATGCAGCATCGTTTGTAACAATTTTAACGCTAACTAAGTACACTTTGATGAGACAGCATTTAATAAAATGCTCATTAATTTCATCATTAGCAAGGGTATGCTAAGAAGTAAGCCAGTTTCTTATGTCACGCCCAATTAGCATCCCATGCTAGTAATCCCATTAGTATTGTTGAATTCACTAATGGAAAAACTAATGGGCATGCTACCAGGGCACATTAATTGGGCACGACACCAGTTCTGGTTTTAATTATTAAACTATGATAATGAAATGTGTGTTTGTAAAATATTAAAATGTTGAAATAGGGTTGAAGAAAATAAAAGAGTATGTAGAAGAAGATATAAGGAAAGTCAGCCTACAAAATGAAAGAACTAGCAAGTGGATTTACCAAATGGTCCTCTTTCTAGCTAATGGAGTTGTCTGTAAAAGTTGGGATATTGTCCACACGGGAAGAACCCACTCATACTCATGGGAAATTAATGCTGTTTTTTTGTAACATAGAATTGTGTATGTCATACTTGCTGTCATGCTCTATATGAGGGCTGACAAGAGTCAATTAAATGTGTACAATGGACATGTTACATTACTGCTACTTTAAGGAACTATAAACAGAATTGCTTTACTCTAGATGGTATGATTAACATTGTACTTCTTTTGATATAAATTTTCAACCACATTACTCCAGGTAATTATCAGTTTTCTATTTTTAAAAATATCATTATATAAAAATTAATCTGAATTTGATGAAACTTCCAACTAATTTTAACAAATATTCTACCCAACATAATGTTGGCTTTAAGTTGATTATTTAAGTTGATTATTGTTAAGGAGATCGACTTTATTAGGAAATGAATTTATTTTCACTGAGAAAATTTAGAGTCATCTTTTTTTTTGTATGAAGGAAAACATTTTATTTTTTTATTTTTTTAATTTCATTTTTTTAAAATATTTATTTATTTATTTATTTATTTATTTATTTATTTATTTATTTATTTATTTATACAAGCACTGGGTACAGTCAGAAGCGCGGGAGGGTGAGAGAATTCACCAGAGCCAGAGCAGGGAGCAGAGCAGGCAGAAGGACTGAAGTACACTGCTGAGGGGAGCAGCGGGCAGCAGGAGAGGTCTGCGTGCCATGTGGGACACTCCTCCGGTGGCCCGGGAGCAGCTGGGGATCGAACCTACGCTGCAGAGGCTGCGGGCAGCTTCGCAACCCAGCGCTCAACCGCTGTGCCACTGGGGAGGCCCATGCAAAACATTTTAAAATACATTTTTCCTGGCAGTAATATTGCATTTCTAACATTATATAAGTTTTGTGAACACATTATTTTAAATTAACATCTGTATATATTGTATTAAGTTCACCACTAAAAATTCAGCTATATCCTTTACCTAATTTATTCACCACCACCCAAGAATTTTGTCTTAAATTTTAAATGTTTATTTTATTTTTATTTAGTTCATTTGATTATTTGGTTTCTGTATATACAGCAGTGCATGAAAACATAAAGCGTTTGAGTGTCCCTGCTTGACTTAATAGTAGTTGTAGTCGATGATAGCTACAAAGTTGAAATATTTTCTACTTATTCTTATTTGCCTACCAACACTAAGAGAGTTGTCATAGTATTAACCTTATGTACTGGTGTTCACTTGGCTGTAAAATGTTAACTTAGATGGTTTCTCTTCTACTTCTTTTCCTGTGCCCTTACCTTCACTCCTTTTTGCTGGTCTCTCTTCTTGATATGTGACATTTCCTAGTCTTAGCCACTTGGAAACTCATTTTTAACAATATTACTGTGATTGTTGCCCAGAGTGGGCCCACTGCCCCATGGCACAAAAACCCAAAACTACGCCACCAGCTTTTGAGAAAAGAACCAGTTTAATTTGAGGTCACCTGTCAGGAGACTAGAGGCAAAGTTCTCAGATCAGTCTTCCTGAGGATGGGATTTTGATTGTGTTTATGGAGTTGAAGAACAAATATAGAAAATGCAAGTTGGGTTGGTTGCTAAATTATGGTGGGTGTAAATTGAATTTGGATCCAGAACTGTAACAGACTGAGCACCCCTTGCTTCTGAATGTTGTCCATTGAACCATGAGTCAGGCCTCTCAGTTCCATCTCCCTAGGCTATTTTTGGTTGAGGCAATGATATGCCATCTTGAAGGCAGAGAACACTCTTCTGGTTTTGCACTCTGAAACACAACTTTTCTGCTTATGAAAGATTGCTGGTTTTTTCCCCTTTAAAATGAGTAGAGATAATTTTGCCCCCTGGTTGCAAGCCCACCAGTTATTCTTGTATATGGAGATAGCAATTGACCATCATGACCAACACTACCTTAGGGAAACCTATAAATGGACTACAAAACATTGAATACCAAGGTTAACCCAAGCATTTATGTCCAATGTATTAATAACTGGCTATTTTTAATGTAAAGCTCATTTCTTGTAAGAAATATAACAGAAATTAACTTGCCTACCATTTTGAATGATAATTTATTAGTTCTATAATTCAGAAATTTTAGAATAGAAAACTCATTACCTTTTTGATGAATATAAGTACTCAAAATGCAACTGTCCTTGCTTATAGTCTTATTTCACAGAGGAGTTCTTTTTAGATTTGAGCATTGTGGTGTTCACAAAAATACATCACAGGAAAGCCAGACTGATGTTCAACATTAATGTTGAGTTCCACCTGAAGTGTATGCATGCTTGCAATAGGATCACATTGAAATTTGTTAATTGGTTTGTTCGTGTGTTTAAACACATTCATTCATTCAATCATTGCTTCATTCCCTTAAGGTGTCGTCAGTAGAAGTTACCACAACCAATGATGATGGTGAAAAATTTGATGATGGCAAAAGGCATGAAATAATTGCTATTAGGCATCAAGCTTTTGGCCAAATCACCCTTGATGGGATGCATACAGGTAAGAACTTTCTAGCAATGGCTCTGTTGATGAGCGGATATTGCATTGCTTTTCTGTGGTTTATATTTCTTTATCTTCACTCAATTTCATCTAAACTGCTGTTATATTTGCATTTGGGGTGCTTGTAAAATGACAAAGTCTGGCAATCATTTTCTCTTTGTGCCAGGTTTCAGGGATAGAGCTAAAATAAGAACAAAGTCATCAGAAGCGTTTTTGTATCTTGTCGGTTCTCTATAATTTGCAAGTGTTCTCAAGTTTCTTTTGACTTCCAGTACACAAATAAGGTGTTAATAGATGCATCTTAAAGATGAGGAAACATGGGCCTTCCCTGGCAGTGCAGGTGGGTGAGCACTGTGCTGTGAAGCTGTCCGCAGCTTCTGCAGTGCCAGTTCGATCCCTGCCGGCCGGCGAGGGTCCCACATGGCGCAGCAGACCTCTCCTATCTCACCCGCTGCTTCTCTCAGCAGTGTATTTCATCAGTCTGCCTGTTCTGTTCCCCACTGTCTCTGGTGAATCCTGTCACCTTCCCATGCATCTGGCCTGTACCCCTGTTCTTGTGTAAAATAAATAAATAATCTTTAAAAAAAATAAAGATGAGGAAACAGGATCAAAAAAGGAAAATAATTCCTCCCAAATTACACAGTTGGTAGGCAGAATTCTTGAGTTATTAATCCTATATGTGCACTTCTAAGTTCAGCATTTTTTCCATCCTACCCTATCTACCACCCCCATTTAATTTTAGTACAGCTGTAGTACTTGTATGGTGATGCACACTTTTGTTAATGCATTCAGAAAATGTGGATGTTTAGTGAGCACCTACTATATGCCCAGTATTGCTCTTGGAATGCTAGGGACAAAGAGCAAAGTTTACATTGTAAGTGGGGGTGGAGCAGGAGACAATGCTGAATGAGTATCAAATAGTAATGATTTCTGAGAATAAACCATGATAAGAGGAAAAGGGTGTTGTGTGTGTGTGTGTGTGTGTGTTTATTGGGAAGAGGCTACTTGATTTTATAAAAGACTGTTTAGGAAGGCCTCTAATAGGAAATATTTGAGCAGAGACCGAAAGGGAGTGCCAGAGTAAACCCTGCAAATATCAGGAGAGGGTTTCAAGCCAAGGGAGCAGCAGATTCCAGGGCCCTGAGAAGGGAGAATACTGCATGTACCATGTTCAGAACCAACTAAGAGGGCAGTGTGGGAAAGAAGGGTGGAGGGGTCTGTGCAGGCAATGGCATCCGAGAGACTACTGGGTGTATTCTATAGGAATATGGGGGCATTTACTTGGAAAGAGGGAATCAATGGCAGAGTTTTGAAAGAGGCATGATATAATTTCCTTCTTTAAGAAATACTCTGGCTGCTCTTTTGAGAATATATTTTAAGGGAACAAAGGTAGAAAGATGGAGGGCAGTTTATAAACCTCTATATAAATGTACACTAATTCTGGCAGGAAATGAAGATTGTTTAAGCCAGGGAAGGAGTTGTGGATATCATGAAAAATCTGGATATATTGTGAAGGTGAAGGTAAACAGATGATTGAGCTAGAACAGGGATAGGCAGGTTGAAACCGACTCTTGCCTGTTTTTATGAACTTTTATTAGAACACAAAGGTACCCACTTATTCTATCTTGTCATGGCTGCTTGAGACTGCATGGATGGTCTAGGAAGCCTAAAATACATACCAGCTGGCCCTCTGCAGAAAGAGTTTGCTATCCCCGGCCATAGAACATGACGGCTAGCTCTGGGTCCTTGGCAACTGGAAGAAAGTAGCTGCTGTAACTAAGGGGGACAAGTGAGTATGAGAAGCAGATTTGGAGAGAGAGGTTCAGAGTTCAGTTGGAACGTGTTAAGTGCTAGATACTCTTACTGGTCTGAGCTCAGAGAAAAGTCACAGACTAAGATGACTAGGATACGAATTGGGAATTGTCAGCTAAGGACGATATTTAAAGCCAAGAGACCAGATACAAAGAGGACTGATGACAGTGATTTGGATTCTGAAACAAAATATGCCCCCTCCTCTCAGGAGGCCTACAAGAGCTTCAAGATGAGAGTTTTTGATGCTGGTAGTTTGTCCTCTGTCCTCCATTCATGCCTCTGGAGGATTCAAGGCATCTGTGCTGGTGAAAATAGGAAAAGATGATAGAAGGAAGGATGTCTGGGTCATCTGACATCATACTGTGGGGGTGAAGTAATTAGAAATAGGTATAGAAATAAGAGAACCAAGAGAGGGTGATATCCCAAAAGCCCACTGAAAGGTTTGCTCATTGTTCAAATTGGTAGAAATTATTTATCCTGCTGGAGTGAAAATTCTCACCTCTTTCTCTGTGGGTTCCTTGGTCGCCCTGAATGGCAGCATGATGATTGGAGAGAACTCAGAGGTGTTTGTGGGAAGGCTTCCCAGGGCTATGCTGTCCTCAGGAAGGAAGGAGCCCAGTGAGTTTGTGAATGCATATGATTGATGTGCTATCACCAAAATTTAAGATAGAAATAATTTATACTTTTTTAAAGTATGAACAGTAGTATTTTTTTTTTTTAATCTCAGGCTGCATTTCCTATGTCAACATTCTCTTCTTTGCTCAAGGAACCATGGATTTCTTTCATTTTATTTCTTAGTGCTGGTTCTTGATATATGGAAAGAGTTCATTAAGCTTTTGCTGAAGTGAATTATCCTAATTTCAGCCAAAATTCTCTATTTTAGGGTAAGGTGTCAGTGCTTCTAGATTTTAAGTTGGATATAGTACAATGCAGAAATAGAAGATGAAAAGCTTGATTCTCTCTAAATAGGATAAAGAACATTCTGAGCACTGGACTACATCATAGTCACTGAACCAGTCCCCGAATATATCCACAGATAAATAGCATGTGGACTGTGCTAAACAGAGGATGCAGCTATATTAACGGTTATTTCCACTCTCATGCCATTAGTGCTAAAATTGAGATATACACACACATCCCCAAATTTTTAGTACAATCAAACAAAATCTCATTTTAAAATGAGATCAATAAAAACTAGCATGAGTGAAATTAACCTTAGACAGAAAAGAAATCACCCTTCCAACACGTAGCCCCTGCTTCGAGAGTTGGCTCCCTAGGCTTTCTTGAAGAGCTCAGGGTGTCTTCCAAGTCCATCCCAGAAGTTAAGATGCCACCATGTGAGTATTACAGATAAGCAAGAACCCGGATAAGTGTCCAGTTCATGGGTGGTGGCCTCAGGAAATCGTGAAGATCAAAATAAATAAATCTGATCTAAATATGAATTAATCTAGGAGGGAGGAAGTGGGAGTGGGGAGGAAAAAAATGGTGACAAGCATGACAGACTATGGTGGGGACTGTAGGTGATTTGGTGATGGAGGAACTGTGGTGACCAGACCTGAGTTGGAAAACCCTTTATTTTGGGGAAAAAACAACAAGTATTGAACCAAAGTTTGTACGATAAAAATTATTAAAAAAAAACAATTTTAAAAAATCTAATAAATAGTTTCCAGTGAATTGTGGAGAGGGATTTGAATCCCCAAGACTAATTATACTTCCTCAAAAATATGCTAAGTAGAGGAGGTTTTATTTAACTACTTTTTGCTTTTTAAACTGGTAGAGAATTTAATTGAAATAGGAGAGAGTGAAAGTAAAGGGGGCTTTGTGGGGGTGAAAAGAGTGAAAGAGAGAACACCTTTGTTACAGGTTTGGTTTTTTTTTAGTGTATATTTTATGTTTATTCTTAAAGAACATTTTCACTGGATATCTTTGTGTGTGTGTGTGTGTGTGTGTGTGTGTGTGTGTGTGTGTGTGTAGAAGAAATGGGTTATAGGCCAGAGGTGTGGGGGGTGAGAGGATTCACCAGAGAGTGGTTGGGGAACAGAACAGCCAGACTGATTGAAATACACTGCTGAGAAGGCAGTGGGTGAAACAGGAGAGATCAGCTGTGCCATGTGTGCCAGCTCCCTGGCTGGGCATAGGACTCTGGCCATAGCAATGATAGCATTGAGGCTTAACCCCTAGGCCATCCGGGAGGCCCTGTTACAGGTTTTGACCCTCAAGCACACTTCTAGGCTAAGCGACTAGGGTATCAGGCAACAGGAGGAAAGAATACCCTATGCTAAGCACCCATCCTATGAAAAACACATGTCCAGTGATAAATACTTTGGTCATGTAAAATTTTGACTGCCGGTGAATGCCTTCCCTAGAAGCTGAGAACAAAGCTTTGCACTGATGAGTAAGCACATTGCCATATGAAATGCAATTCATATGCCCCCTCTCCCTCCTCACTTCCTTGATCTCTCTCCAATTCTCTCATTTGCTCACTTTCTTTCCCCCCACCCCTCTGTTATCACTATTTGCTATACCCATAAACCCCGTGTCAACCTGATTTGTGGTTCCAAATTTAACCTTAATGTGACATTAATTCCTAAAAATGAAATCAATTATTGATTCATAATGTCAAGGTAACTAAACTGTAAATTATAAACTTCCTTCAAATCTTACTTTAAAAGTTGTTATAGCATTCTTCTTTTGGACACATAGCATGAATTTTATTGTTGGTTCAAAAGGCAATGTTTTTACTAGACCTATAAAACCCAGGATTTTGCATAATTGTTTCTTCAGATCTGGTAGGTCTGAACCAGGGTGAAGCACTTACCATGGCTGATGGTGTGATGTTTACATGAATTGTTGCGAGGTTGGCAGTAAATAGATGGTGAGAGCTATTGCCTGTGCCTTTGATTTTAATGCCACATAAAATTAATTGCTGGAAAAGAAGTTTTTCAAAACACATTTTTCTTGATATCTATCAACTACTGCAGAAATCATCCAAAAGGCTTTTGTGGACTGTCTCAAGGATGTGTCTTTTCTGAAGAATTACAATCCCTCTGCTTTGTGGGAGCCTCTGGTTTGGCAGAATTCTGAAAAGCAAACCAACATATATAACAACAGGGAGGGATATCCCTCCTCATTATATGAGGGAGTCCAGTTCCTTGGAACAGGTAAGGATCTAAACTAGACATCAATGATTGTTTAGCATCTGTGTCCTAGCTATGGCATAATTTTATCTCCCTGTCTGATTATTTTGACCTCCTATGAACCTAGTATTAAAGAAATACATAGTTATGCCATGATGCACATAATATGCTCTCGGAGTCTGAATATGTAATATGAGTGGTAAGACTCATAAATCTCTTTGTGCATAATGGACCTTGCTAGTGTCCCAAGGTAGTTCTCAACTCACATAGCTTAGTGTCACACACGTTCATTTGTAAGTCCATTGTTTGGAAATCAGTATACAGTTTTACTCAAAAGAGATTCCAAAGGAGTTTTGTTTACTAGGATAACATGCAAATAACTGCTTGTCCCATGATGTGGGTGAACTATATTCTTAAGAGTAATAGTGCAGCTGTGGCATGGAGTAAGTAGGTCATAAAGGTCTTCCTTTATGCTGGGAAATCATGAACCACCATCACTGCAGCAAAAATGAGGAGTGGACACAGTTCCCTGGTCCCTCCACCCATAGCTCTCTGTGGCAGCCTAAGAGGGGAAGGAAATATGGTGCATTGCTGGATATGGCTCCTCCTATATTTACAGTTAGGTTGCTTAGTTATTAACTTGCTTAAATTACCTTCAGAACAAAAAGCTAAATAATATTATAATCTATACAATTTTTTCTTTGCTTATCTCATCTTTGTCATTATTTGAACTTATCTTAGTCAATGCAACTCTTTATTATCAACTCTTAAGTAAAACAATACTAGTCTTAGTCATATGCTCTTATTTACAGAGTAAATTACTTCCTCTTTAAAAATTATATGAAATTCATTCTAGCACTTGATGCAATTATAAGGGGGTGGGTTCTCCCTAACATTGCTTTGCATCTTGTTTTGTGAGTGGTTTACTCTGCAGCAGTATGTCCTAGAAATTTACAGCACTGCTGAAAATACTGCTTTGCACATGCTAATTTGCACAATATTTTTGTTTCCAGGGATCCTGGAACTTCCTCCAAACTTGTTTCATGGAGGAATGAACTTTGAGATTTCCTTTAATTTCAGAACTGACCAATTGAATGGATTGCTGCTTTTTGTCTACAATAAAGATGGACCAGGCTTTCTTGCCGTATGTTAATTAAAATTACTTATAAGTAAAACAGCTGTTAATGCTGAATCAGGGTTTCTTTCCAAATTTTCATTTTTTCCCCCAAGTTCATATACCCAGCTTTTCTTACAAATGTTACTACATGGTGATAGTGGGGAAACACCCCCAAACAAGAAAGAGAGGGGATGTCCTCAATTTCCTTTTCATCCATCTAACACATTCAATGTTTGCCATGTCTTGCTGAGTTACTTTTAAAAACACCTCTTAGATAAAATTTTCACTGTCATTGGAGTTGTTCTCCTTGTTGTGATGGCCCTCACCAAAATTGTACTGATTTCCTAATAGATTTCTCCAATCCAGTCCAGCTTTTATTTCCTGTACGCACTTCTTAGGTTGGTGAGGGAGAATAGCAGGAGATAATCATGGAAAGCTTATCGGCTTTGTATCAGGAAGAAATAGATTAACTTTTTTCCATATCATTCAAATCCCCCCAAATTTTGTGTGCACATAACTGGCTGGACTCTTTCTAACTCACCCCTTCCCTCCTATGTGCTTTCTGTCTTCTCTGACTTGGTATCTTATACTGAACTTAATGAACTGGTTTCTTAGTCTCATGACATTGAACATGTTAATCACCCTGCTTGCAGGACCTTGCACAAATCTACATATATCCAAAATGCACATCCTTTCTATGCTCACATTGTACCCAGATCCACCCAGGTTCTATGTCACCCCATGTTTGCCAATTCTATTAGACATTGTGCTCCTTGGGAAGAAGCTTATCATAGAGCAGCAAGTTTGTGGACCATGATAGGGGACACAGTATCTAAAGAATAAATGCACAGAGAACTGAATGACTGCTCACCTGATGCACTTCACAAAGATGACATTTACCTAGAAAAAGTAAACCTATTTTATGTGGCGTTGCTTAATTTGTTCCGTCTGATGTGATTCATCTCAGATTTTCAAGTGTCCTATGGTTGCTGACTTGATTTCTAACACAATAAAAGCATAGTAGGTAAAATAATTGTCATGTAACATTTTGAAGGAAAATATATGGAGGCATTTCCTTTACCATGAAAATTTGGGTAAAATACACTTGCGTGAGAAAATGGTACCTTAATTGAAAAGAATACACATGGAAGAAATTATGTTAGTTAGAGATTTAGAATAATAAAGCTGAAGTATTGAATCAAAATAAATCTTACAAATTTGAAATTGAGTTCACCAACCAGTTAAGATAAGCTTAATCAGGCTTGACATTTCATTTTCTTATTGTCTTGTCATATTTTTCCCCCAAATTAAATTGATGTATGAAGTAGTATTTTCTCATTTTCTAAAAACCCAAATAAAAATATAGTTGTAGTTCAAACAGCTCTGTTCTTGGCAGTTCTTCCATCCATAGGCTGGGATTTAATCTTTTCACCATGTTGCACCCCAAACAAAAGGTTCACTCACCTAATATTGTATGACATTGTGTAATCATTACTGGGTATGAATTTGACTAGAAACAATAGTCTTTATGTCAATTATAAGCTTTCAAAGAACCTCATAACAGGTTAATTCCAATTCTGCTTGGAATAAAGGAAGATTTTTAGTGTTTTCATGGAAATGTCTTGCCTTTCTGCAAGAAATTGACCTCTGTTTTCTCCTCAATTGCCACTCTACTCTCTTTTTATCTACCTGTTTTATTTTCTAATGTGAAATACAGATAGAACTGAAGAGTGAAAGACTGAGCTTCTGGTTAAGCGACAGTCTTACCTTCATACAAGCAGCTCTATGCCTGAGGCCATGCTATTGTGCTGGAGAGGGGAACACAGTCATCATTCAAAAGGAAGTCTCCGTCCTGTCTGTGTGCATGAATGACCTGATAGAAGGTGCATCCCAATTCCGGGCACAACCACTGAACATGAGCACCCTTGTCTACCTGGGTGAGGCCCCAACGCACCTGCAGGATACCTGTAGACTCCTACATTTGGAACAAGGTAAACTCCACAGGAAAGAATCCCCAGGTTGATACAGCTCTCATGGTTGAGGGCTTGGGTGAGTCTGTGTTTCAAGATATAACAGTAGAATCAGGGTGAAAGCAACACCACCTACCCCCTTATGGGAGAATTCTAGATTCTAAAAAAATTCACAGAACATTTCTGCCAATAATTTTGTGTGGTGCTGTAAAAAGTGTGCTGTCATATCTCTCTATAATCAGTATGTTTATTGAAAAATATCTTCAGCAAAAAAATTATATGTAACAGATAATAAAATATAAGTTTTCTCATGTTTGCCTTGAAAAAAACACATGTGGTTCAGTTCTTTTGAACACTGCTCAAAATCTGTATTTATGGATTTAAAGATAAAATAGGTGTGCAAGCTAGGAAAAATGGCATTGAATTCACTGTTTTTCTGATGTAAATACAGATTGTCTTCCTGCATTTCAGTAGAGCTTTCATTTGGCAAAGTACATGAAAGGGTAGGCTTAGTTGAATTTCAAACATACTTATGAAAAATCTATTATTGATTATTAATAGCCATCAAGGAAAGGGAAAGTAAAGAAACCACGCGTTAACTCATCTAAGTTCAAACATAATCAGAGAAATTAGTAATTTTAAAAAGGGCCCAGTTAACTGAGAGCATCCTTCTGAGAGTTCAACATGAGAACAGTCAGTTTTTTATTACAAACCAATGAGTTAGGGATCATTATTCATATACCTGTTTTCCAGATGAGGAAACTGAAGAGCACAGGGGAGAGTGACCCCCAAGGTCACAGGGCTTGGGCAGATAGCAAGCCTGCCTGTCAAAGTCCACTCTCCTTATTACAACCAGTGCTCTCTTTTATGGACTTTAATCAATGATTCTTCTCTATAACATGAGGAAAACCCAGTAACTTCCCGCTGCTTGCATGTAAAGAACATTCTCTGTGTATTTCAAAAGCTTGCACTGTGAATGGTTAACATTTCCATGAAGCAGTCTTTGCCTATTTGGTAAGTACATAAAGATTTAAATGCCTTTGAATAGAAAATATATAGCAAGCTCTAAGGAGACTTTTAGAAGGGTACTAGTAAGGAGTTAATGAATATCTGGGGTGTAAGACAGTAATGACATTTTCAAGGCACTTAAGATGTAACAGCAGCTAAAAATATTACATTCATATAAGGGCTTCTCCTGGTTTTCAAGTTTCTGAGTTAGAAGGAGTTTGAAAACCTGTTATCTGAGCAAGATTACTTGATCCTGTTTACATCTAGGAAAATGCTCTGCATTTCAAGTACACTGAAACCCATTCCTATGAAGGTGCTGAGACTGGGCCAACTTTGGAATTTTGAGATGATAAGGATTGAAGTTTAAAATATCAACATAGACCCAAAGGGATAATTTAATCTACTCTGTGACTAAGGCAGTGATACTGAAAGATATTTTTTTATTAGGTAATGCTAAGTTTTTATCATTGCAGTAATATCCATATCAGTAGTTCTCAAACCATTGCTAAAACACTGAAGTGTAGTAGCTGCAACTTAGTATTTGATAAAATTCGTTCTTTTTATTGTTGCTCAGCATACATCAGAGTCACCTGGGAAGGTTATTGAAAATGCAGATTTATGACCCTTTCTTCTAAGATTCTGACTAGGACACTTTGAGAGATGCTGCTCTAAGTAACTGCATGTGTTAGACAGCAACCAGGGAGAACACCCAGCACACAGAGGGGCTGTGTGCGTGTACTAAATTACAAGGAATGAGAATGAAGCCTATTCCCTCACTGTGTTTTTCAATCTACTATCAACAGTCTTAAAAATCTTTGTCCTTTCTTTTCTGTGATTCTCAATTAGCAACTTTTTTTCAGAGGCTCTATTTTGTGATCAGGTTAGTGCTTTTTTTCCCCCCTTATCCATGAATGTAATCTTCCTTGAAATCAAATGCAAATGAGTTTTCCTCTTTGTTTTGGAAACCTTGGGCAACATGATTTACTGAAGATGAACCAATGCAGATCATAGGCATTTATCTTGGAACTACCCCTGGGGACATCCACTGCCCTCAGTGGGGTGTGGCTGTGTGGTTGCACAGGTGGTGCTCTGCCTGAGGCCCCAAGTGGACAGGAGCATGAAAGCCAGCCTTCCTACCAGCACACCTGCCAGTGTCAAAATCCCTCCCCAAGGAGGGCTATTGCTTTTCTTATTTGTCAGCGCAGAACTCTGCAACATCTTCCAGTTGTTTGGAGACCTGGGGTAAAGGTGAATGAGGAATGTTTTTTGATTCTCATAGAATGTGAGGAGCTAAGAAAAGGAGGAGTGTCCACGAACATACCCTGTCCCCTCTTCTCATCCCCCATTCACATTTTGGAGGTAGTTGAGAGGGTTCCCAGTAAGAGTACTTCTGGTGGGCCAGTGCTTGAGGAATGATACAAACTTTACTGGAAGGAACTCTCTGATCATGCTCAAGGAAAACCCAGTGAGGACCCTACTCTCCAGGACCTCAAGAGTTGAGACTTGGGGTCAGGATAGTACTTCCTAAGAAGCATTAGTATCTATGAACCCTGTAACTCTGCACCTTTCTCTTTATCTAGTGGATGAAGGAAGACTATCTCTGTGGGCTTTCTCCAGTTTAAAAGTTCATCATGTGAATTAATTTTAAAGATATTTATTTTTAACAATTATTTTTTAGGGCCTCCCTGGTGGCGCAACGGTTGAGCGCTGGGTCATGAGCCTGCCCGCAGCCTCTGCAGCGCCGGTTCGATCCCCAGCTGTCCCCGGCCACCAGCGGAGGGTCCCACCCACATGGTGCACAGACCTCTCCTGCTGCCCGCTGCTCCCCTCAGCAGTGTATTTCATCAGTCTGCCTGTTCTTCTCTCCGCTCTGGCTCTGCTGAATTCTCTCACCCTCCCACGCTTCTGACTGTACCCAGTGCTTGTATAAATAAATAAATAAATCTTTAAAAAAATTATTTTTTAAACTGTGAAGTGGACATAAATTTATCATCTTAACCATTTTTAAGCATGGGGATCAGTGGCATTCAGTACATTCACATTCTGGTGCCACCATTCGCCTCTATTCATCTCCAGAATTCTTCCCTTGGTAGGGACTCTAGGGCATAGAGAAGTTAGGGAACTCGGCCATGTGCCAAAAGAAAATTACTGCTGGTAAAGAAATTAGAATTCTTAGTTTCTGAATGTTCAGGCAGATGCTTTTATATTGAGCTTCATTGCTTTCAATTCAATTCACCCGACTTATTGTCTACTGTGTGTTCCAGATACACTGGCAGTATTGATCAGTCAGGCCTAAAGGAATGTGAATAATAGCAAAGACATTTAAAAGGAAATAGGTTGCAACTTAATGTGTTTGAAGATATCATAAGACATCATATAAATGCTGAAGAGAACTGTATGGTCATTGTTACTATTAACTTATGTTACTGGTAAACATTGCATTATGTTTTATTTCCTTTCCTGCTGAGGTGCTGTAGTCTTGCAAAGAACTAAGCATGTGTCTGGACCATTCAAACTCGTTTAGTCTAGTGTGTGTGCTGCAGCAATCTCAAACAGTCCGTTTGTCCCTTCATTTACAATTTTGCACAGTTTGGGGGACAGAGTGCCACCAAGCCACCTGAACAGGACTCTGCACAGAAGAGCTGGATTCGAAGCCACTGCTCTCTCCTAGATGGCTAGATGCCCTGGGGATTTCCAGCAAAAACAGCATTGCATTCCCCAAATGCATGTCCTTCCACCTTCTCTGCCTAATTTTGCTGAACTTTGCTGCCTGGGGTTATTCTAAAGCCAGCTAGGTAGAGCACACGTTCTGAGACACCTTTGGGTCCCTGTGACCCAAGCTGAATTTGGTCCTTATTCTCTCAGGAACATAAAACCATTTTGCATATTCAACATGATGGCTCTCCCTGAAATGGGTGTTGCGCGAGTATATTCCCTGCATGCTGTGTGATTTTTGTGTGTTCCTGGTGATGCTCGTGCACATAGAAGCTGTCTTCTCGTTCCTGCTCTCCAGCATCATGTCCTCCAAGAGGGATTTTTCCACTGAGCTGATGACTAGCCATGTCAATGCAGTATTACTCTTTGGTACTTTTACACTGACTTGCAAGAGCTCCTTAATATTCAGAACTGGGGGGCAGGTGGGTACCCCACCACCATAATGCATGATTGCCTGTAATATACTTCATGGGATAAACCGAATGTTGTAGTGTAGGCCTGAAGAGATAAAATACTCTCAGTTGACTATAACCATTATCAGTTGAATTATAATGATGGCCTTATCTATTTTTGTCACAACAAATATAAATACTTCCTAGTGGCAACTTGCCTAATAAGAAGCAGGATGGGGCATGAAGGATTTCTCAAATAAGATTGGAAAGTTTAAAACTTGGATTTAAAGTACCCCCCACACCTTATCAAAATATCATACAGTAGAAGACAAGAGTGACTGGTCATCAATGACTCCAATCTTTCATGTGGTACTAATCCTGGACTATTTGGTAGGTTTCAGCGATTGCATAAAGGATGTGAAATTTGCACAGGGTGCTGCCATCCACTTGGCATCTGTGTCCAGCAGTGCTGTCAGAGTCAATCTGGATGGATGCCTGTCAACTGACAGCATGGTTAACTGCAGAGGAAATGACTCCATCCTGGTTTACCTGGGGACAGAAGAGCATGCTTATGAGAGTAGGCTCCATCCCTACCAGAAGGAGGGGCTCTAAATTGAATACTCGGTGTCTCCTACTCATCAACCCATCTCCCCAGCAGCCCTCCACTTGTCTACATGACTGATGTTTTCACCTTTCAACTTCTTTCCATTTAAGAATCCCTGCATTGAGTGATAGCCTCCCACCAAGGAGGGTCAGCCCACAGTGATTGGAACCAAGTGTGCACACCAGGAACCTGTAAATATTGTTCACCTTAACATCAATGTGCACACACATGCATGGGTATTTGTACATACATGTTTATGTTTGTAAAGAAAGGGAAAGGTGACTGCCCTGCAGCCAGTGTGTTTGCGGTCTTCTGCCAGAGCTTGTCTTGGTTGTTAAGCACATCCGTCAGTGGCTTCGCTGAGCAGGGCTTTTGATTTTTCAAGTATTTGAGAAGTATTTGTTCTGGCTTGATTCTTTCCTCTTCAGATATGAAAGGAAGGAAGTTCAGGTTGTCTGAGGGATTTAATAGGCCTGTGTCTACAGAATTTAGTATAGGAAGCCTTTACAGAGTGCCCAGACCCCAAGAAGCTACAGTCAGGACACCCTCATCCCCTTTCTCTGACAGAAAGTGCATTTGAAACCTGCACCTAGTTAGAAGCAGATGTGTCTTTCATCACATTGTGGCGGATGTTTGCCACGGTGTTGACTCTTAGGATCTTGGAATGACTCTCCCAGGATAGTAATTGCTGAATGGTCTAATTTTTGTTGCATTGGAGGAGAAACAAGTAGAAGCATTAGATCTCATCTCAGACAACTGATTTATAAGTAGGTTTGTACTTAACAGAGTATGTGAAAAAGCCTTTTTGCATGGTGGGAAGGTGTTCATCAAGACAAGTTTATGAATCAGTTGGTTCCTACCATTTTGAATCAAATATTTGTCAGAAAAGCAAATGCATTTCTATATGATGGCCACATATGTCTCTTAAAGAATATTTATCCCTAGCAAGTTGCCATTGGTCTAAAGTTGAGTTTTCATCAAAATATTCTCTTCTATCAAAAATGGGGCACTCACCCAAGGCATCCTTTGCAGAATCTTCTTAATCTAAAAAATAATTAAATACTGAGATGGGCTGCAAGAGGAATCTTCAAAGCTCTCTGCATACAGATTTTCCAGAAGAGGACAACTTGACACTTTTCCTGGATAATTTAAATTATCATCTGTTTGTAGGCAAGCCAGTGAGCTGAATGATCTCTGCAAATCCATTTCAACTTCAGAGCTTAGAGAAAGCTGATAGAAAATATAATTTGTGACTGCCATGCCCTCTACCCCCATTTCACACCCCTGTGCTTTATTAACAAATATACACTGTGAAGCCTGCTTTTCTGTCTGATTCAGTAATGTCAATAGGCTTCTAGAAGGTGCTGGCTTGCCTAGCTGAATAGTGCCCTTTCTGAGTGCACCCAAGAAAGGATGCAAATAAAGCTCTGAATTGATAGCAATGATCTGACCACAAAGTCTTATGCCATAAATTCATATTTACAATCTGACCACAACACTGAGCAGCTACAAGCTCCCAAGGGTTGGAGAATAATTGCACTATTTAATTATTTTTCAGTCAGTTTTGTTCTGTCCCTTATGAAAAGACCATCTGTTAGACAGTACTCTACTTTGCCCTGTACCACATTTCAGGACTAATAAAATCAACCTTGTTGCCATTGTCCCTATACCAGAAACTTGATTGTGTGGGCTGTGTGTTTGCCAGAGGGGCCCATGGTCTCTCCACCACCCAGATGCCACTTCTCCACCTGTGTGCTTCCCCTCAGCCTTTACGTCCTCTTTTCCTTCCTGGAAGCTGTCCTTTCTTATTGGTTTGAATTGTCAAGTCCAAGAAGAGGGATATTGATGTGGGAAAACTAAGAGTGAGCCTCCACCTACAGGGCCTGGGCATCTAGGAGGAGTTAAAACAGGCCCCCACCCATTGCCTGCCATGAAGTTTCTTGGCCTTTTTCTCCATGTCACCAGCACAGGCAGCTGTAATGAAGTTGTTGCTGATCAGAACCACCGTGGACGTATCTAATAAAGAGTTAAAGGTTCTGGGTTTTTTAATGAAGACACTCAGTTTATAGGGAAGATTGTGTGGCTCCTTTGAGCTCCTTCACTGTGTGTTACTGATCTATGATCCTCTGAAGAAGATGTCTCTGGAAATTATTTTGTATAATCTCAAGAGCACCAATCCTCTACCCTGCAATATGCATTGAGAATGTATCTAGTACATCCTATGGGGTCGAAGAGTGTGTTCTTAAAATTAACCTGAAAAACAATTGAATTTGGAAAAATGAGCTCAGACATTCAATTACAATACAATCCCATTTGTGATATTTTTTGGCTAATACGGTGAAGATGTAAAAGTGTCAAAGCACTACGTATAATAACAGCCTAATTATCTTGCTGCAAGGGGGTCTGTCATTATATTGTTTGAACTTGTTATCTGACTACCATCCACCTCCTCCTTTATGAGTGATGTTTAAAACATGTCTGATACATTAAATGTTTTTGGAAAACCTGGACTAGACTTGAAAGCCCGTTAGGTCAATGGAGTTTTGATGGTTTTGAAATATCGCTTAAACTGAACGGCTCAAGATGTGCAGTCATATTAAATCAATGCTGAAAAGTTACAACTCTAATAAATTGTATTTATGCTAATGGTCGAGTCTGATTTACTGCGGCCATTAAAAGTGAAGAATAGAGGCAATAGTCCTCTCAGAACTGCCACTTTCTCTATTTTCTCTTTCATTCTTTTTGCAGCTGCTCAAAGTGTACCAACTCCCTCAGAAGTCCACAGCTTGAATGGATATAGCATGGAGGTGACCTGGGATGAATCTGCCATGGTCAGAGGTGTGGTTAAGAAGCACATCCTGAGAGCTTACATTCAAGACCACCCCTGGCTGCCCCATGTGCCAGTCACCACCTCTGAATTTGTCGACGCCAGCACCCATACAGGTAAAGGCGAGGCCTTAAGACAGTTGACCTTATTAATTTTCCTTTTGTTTTAACTTTAAATTAATTTTTTCCCAATTATAGTAAACAACCCTATAGTTTGCCTCACTAAAAACCCCAGTAACCATATCCTGAGATGAAAGCCTGTTTCTCCCTGTGATGAGCAGGGTGATTCTAGTATGTTCATGGGCTCTTGTGGATTGCTTCCCACAAGGTTGATATTCTCTCCAAAAAGTGTAGGGTCCACATGGCTAGTCCCTAGAACATTCCACAGGCATCCTTCAGGGATCTTGTGGATATATCCAAGACCAGCTTACCTACTACACTAAGCAAAAATGTACTCTTAGGAACTAGCCCAAGTTCACAGCACCATTATTTATTGTAAAATTGTTGATTAAGCCCAATTATGTCAAGTTAGAGGGGATAGAGACACCAGCAGTTTGCTGGCACATCCGTGAACCAATTTTCCACAATGCGGCCTGCCGTGCAGACACTGGCTAGGAGTTTGTTTCCTTCATGCCACACGCGCCCAGACTCAAGTTCACGCACATGTGGTGAGATAGCCATTTTCAGCTTCATGAAATGTTAAAGCACATTTAATGGAAAGTCACATTGCAGCCTTTGCCCCTCCAAAGTAAAATGCATCAACCGACTTGATAAAAAATAACATTTTTTCCTCTATCAGAGAATTGTAAAACGTGAAATGTACAGATTGTAGAGCTGCTCTTGTGATCTTTCCAACATTCTTATTGATCAACCTAAATTCTTCTTTTCTTTATAGGTTACTTACCATCTCTTGCCCAAATACATGACCAATTAAAAAAACCTCACATCTGCCACTTCCTTCTTCCCTATTTTACCTGCTGGGTAAAGATGCAACCTGATGTTCTAGGCTGTGTAATGTTGCAGAGCATACTGGGAAAGAACAACTTATCTAAAAATTCCCAGTCCCCATGTTCAGAGGGGCACTCCATGGTGATGCCAACCACACAGAATTTCTGTAATAAGTATCTCCCATTCTCCTCACTAAATTTTTTCTTTTACCCAACTTATCAAAAAGCTAACCTCCCTCCCCATCTACTTCAGTTTATAGATTATAGATTAATGATAATTCATAGATTAGATCATCTTTGATAGTAGAGAAGAAACAGAGTCTATCATACAGGGTTTTTGTCACTTTCTTACTTGCCAATATATACATTAATTGTATTTTTCTGACAGTGATTTGGGGTTAAATGAGTTAATATATGTTAAAACACTAGAAATTGGAAATTGCTTTTGGCTTATACAGATGTTGGCCATCATTATTTTTTCTGTTTTGTCTCTTTTTTTCCTTCCCCTTATCCTGTCACAAGTAAAATCTTCAAATATCCTCTGGACCCCAGCTCTCCTTGCCTTTTTCCTCTCACAGTTTTTAAATTATTTCTTTACTTCTTCATTTTGTAATTTATATATATATATATATATATATTTTACATCATCTTTATTTTTGTACAGTGTATGTTTTCTCTTAGGTGTAACTCCCATAAATTTCCATCACCAATTCACCCTCACACTTAAATTTTTAAGCTCTCTCCCCTGCAGTGCTTCACAAAATGTGGCTCCAGCAGCAGCCTCAACAGCATCTCCTGGGAACTTGTTACTAAGGTGAATCCTTGAACTCGCCTTCCCCTGCTGAATCAGACCCTCTGGGGGCAGCCTCAGCCCTCCTGTTTAAACAAGCCTTCCTTCCCTGATTCTGGTGTGTACCAAGGTTTGAGAACCACTGCCTAGCCAGATTCTTCCCAAGATTGTTCAAACTCTGTGGATCCCCAAACCAACCGACCCAAGTCAGTCCCCCAAATCTTCCTTCTTTAAATTCCCTTCCAAGTGTCCTTTCCATACTTGTTTCTACTAGAACACATCTATGGATGCGGTGCCATTTCTCTGCTTTATCTGACTTCTGCTCGCCTGCTTTGCTAAAGAGACCAACAATTTCCATGTCTACACCACTAAGGAGTACTTTCTACTCCTCTTCTTACTCCTCTTCATTTACTCCATAGATTTTTCACCATTTTTAAAACATTTCTCCACTTTTGTGACTGTTGGCCTCCTAGTTCTCAGTCCCCTTTTTCTTAGTGTTCTTGTCACTTCTTCTGAAACTTCATTCTGCATTTCCAAGAAACTCAGGGTTCAGGCATGGGGTCCTCTCCCCAACCCTGCCCTCTGCCACCATCCCACTCCAGGGAACTTCATTGATTCCCAGAGCATCAGGTAACTTCCCACTCCCAGACTTCCACATGTGTGTAAGCAATAGGACTTGAAAATTTGACATTTCCAGTAGATTTTCTAAGCCGATCCAAATCTGAACTCCTGTTCGCCCTGAAGTCCCAGGATCAATGTAGGTTTCTCCTTATATCCAGAATAGAACATTCCTATTTGGTAAGTTATTTTTTGGTTCTAAGAAGTCTGTAACTAGTCATTTTTATGAAATATTTTTTGAACTTTCCCAGGCCAAAAAATAACCTACAAAATTATACTAAGTAGGAACAGCCCAGCTACCCAGTTAATCAGTCTGGGAAATAATTTCTGCTCTTCAGTCTCTTCATACCTCACATCCCTGTTTGTTGATCTATTTTCCACATTGTGTTAAATCCATTAGTCTTCTGTCCTAGCCAAGCCACTGCAATGTCTTTGCTGGGTAACCGGGATACTTTTGTTCTCACTGTTCTTTTCCATGAGTCTACCCCACAAAAAAACCAGGCACCACCTTCCTCTCCTCAGAATCCTTCAATTGCTTTCCACTGACTCTCTTCCAGCCTTGTTTTCCTTCAGTCTCCCTTGTTTTCTCAGTTTCCAACTTTTGCTGTTAAAATTCCTGATTTTTAAAAAGTCTGTGAGGGCATTTTTGGAGGATTTCTGAAAGAGAGTAAGAAAAAATTCCTCAAAATGCAACAATTTGATCAAAGGCTCTTAAGACCTTTTCAGTTTTGGGCTTTGAAGTCAAGAGCTTTTGATACAGGGCCTCCCCGGTGGCGCAGCGGTTGAGCGCTGGGTTGAGAAGCTGCCCGCGGCCTCTGTAGCACCGGTTCGATCCCCGGCTGCTCCTCGGCCACTGGAGGAGGGTCCCACATGGCACGCAGACCTCTCCTGCAGCCCGCTTCTCCCCTCAGCAGTGTGCTTCGGTCCTTCTGCCTGCTCTGCTCCCCGCTCTGGCTCTGGTGAATTCTCTCACCCTCCCGCGCTTCTGACTGTACCCAGTGCTTGTATGAATAAATAATAAATCTTAAAAAAAAAAAAGCTATTGATACAAATCTCTGTGACCCACTCTTGAGTGTTTGGGGGAAGATAGTTATCTTACTGGATTGTTCTTTAATGTCTTAGCCTGTGAAATGGGAGAATAGTATTTACCTTAGAAAAATATTATGTGATAGATACTCTAACACCTCTTAGCTGGTAAGCTTAGACAAAGCAATTGATATTTGTGGTCTTCTGAACCCTCTAGGTAAAATGCGAATGATATAAACACCTACCTCCTATGATAACTGTGGGGGTTAAGTGAATCCGTGCACAAGAGAAGGACGTGGAATGCATTGTACAATGTTAGCTATAGAGTATCAACATTTGTAACACAATATTTAATATATGATTATTTCTTCAACAAAGTATTACAACACTTGCCAAAAAAGTTGTCCATTTTAAAGTTCCAGGACACAGCTTGTAAAGTCAAATCAACCGAGGTTCAAAAACCAGTTATGCCACTTGCTGGTTGTATGATCTCAGGAAAATTTAAAAATAAAATTCCATATTGGAGTTTCCTCATATATAAATGAGTGGTAAAACCATCTGTATGTTATGGAATCATTGTGAAGATAAAAATAAATCAATTACCTACACAGAATAAATAGGCACAGTCAATGTCAATTAATTGTTATCTGTATGCTATTTAGAGGCTGAATTCTGGGTTATTGCTTCAAAATTGTTTCTCTTTCTGATGTTTGCACTGTTGGATCTGCTCTTTGAACATTCTGTGATGATTTTTCTTTTTTTTCAGTTTTCTTTTAGATGATTTGGATTTGTTCCTCATCTCATACAGCTCACTTTGATTTTTGCCTACCTTTCAATATTCAGTTTTCATCGCTGTTGTTTACCACTTGTATTCTGTCTCTTGTTTCAGCGATTCCAAGTTCTTTTAGATCTTATTAATAGCATAAAACTGATGATTTTAAAATTTTCCAGATTTCCTGAATTAATTCCTTCCCAGGACATTATTGTTTGATCTCATTTGAGGGCTGAGTTCTCTTCTTTCTTTTAAATTACAGATGCTTTCCCACTGGTTAGATGCACTCCCATACTCACTTCCAGGGTTCACTTGCCCTGTTCGTAATTTCATCTCCAGAATGGTGTTTCTTCAGGAAAATTAAGTCATCTTCTAATCATTTTACTGGGCACTTAGTTGCTGCTAATGCAAACCTTCACTGGGATTATAGGGAGTCAATTGAGGTGAATTTGCATCAGCCTCACAGCAATCTGTAGCCTCCACCCCATCCTCCCCAGTATTGGAGGAGTGTTGAGATTTGTGACCTACTTTACTCAGCTCAGGATTAGATTTGTTCTGGGCTCCCCTTCAAGGAGTCCATTTGTCTTTGTCTGGTGTCCTTCCAGTCCTTTCCAAACCTTTGGTCAGTTCGTTGGTATTCTCACAAGGTAATAGCTCTCAACCCCATTTGCACACTGAGCCACTGAAGAGCTCTAAAAAAACTTATGCCAACTGCCAAGAGTCTGACTTTTTGGTTTAGAAAGTAGTATTGATGTTTTTAAAGTGTCTTCAGGTAATTCTGTTCAACCAACCTCAGAAAACACTGTTAGAGGCACCAGTTTGACACCAGTGATCAAGTTTCGGTTTTACACAGAAATTTTTTTTTTTTAAGATTTATTTATTAATACAAGAATGGGGTACAGGCCAGATGTGCGGGAGGATGACAGGATTCACTGGAGACAGAGTGGGGAATAGAACAGCAGAC